TTGAAAGAGCAGTTACGCTAATAAAGAGATTCTTGTAATTACATCATAACGAAATAGTGGAATAAATGTTATAATTAATTTACTTACAACAATATGGCAAAAACACTATTCTATATTCAGAAGCAAATTGCTAAATCCAAATGAATATTTTGATGAAAATGGAAAGTAAAAAATAAAAAATAAATAAAAAGGGAGAAAAGACTACTATAGATTGTCATCATGGGTGCATTTCTGTCAAATGTGACTTTCATTGTCTAAACCTAGGTTTTTCCATGAAGTTGGTTTGTTTGTTTGTTCTTTTTCTTTCTTGAACACAAGTTGTGGTGTTGGTTTCATTTGAAATTGGAAGAAATGTCAGAGAAAATGAGCTTGCCATATACAATTCATCAATTGCTTATTCCTCTTATGTTTGAAATAAGATTTTTCTTTCCTTAAATCTAGGATTTGGGTTGTCTTCTTTATTCATTACTTCTCAAAAAACATCATACCTACCATATAACATTCTTATTATAATAAAATATATGAGAGATAATCAACAAACAATCTTATTTCAAATTCGGAAAGATAACTCAAATTTACGACATATTGTTTAGGCGGGTGAATAGGCTTGTCAATGGACTTGAATTTGATTCGAATTCGATCTGAATCCAAATTTGATTAGCAGAATATGAATTTATATTTTTTACCAATAATTCGAATCATATTTCACATGTTCGGATTTGAATATACCTATATCCTATGCGATTATGATCTGAACTGAATTATTTACATATTTTTATATAAATATTAAAGAACTTTAGTTAATTAATTCAATTATGAGTCACGAAAATAAAAATCTGTCAGATTATTGGATTGGATTTAGATCGGACTTTTGAATTCGAATTTAAATTCGGATAAGTAAGAATCTGATTTAAACCTGATCCGTTATAAGATACAAATTCGGAGAGGAATGGAGCTTGTCAATGGATCTAAATTTGATTAGCAGGATATGAATTTATACCTTTTTACCAATAACTCGAATTTGAATCTGACTTCAAATCATATATTGTATATTTCACAGATTCGAATTTAAATATACTTATATACTATTTGATTATGATCTGAACTGAATATTTACATATTTTTTATATAAATATTAAAGAACTTAAGTAATTATTTAAAAATAAATAAATAAAATTTAAGTATAATTTGTTAAAATTTAATTAATTAATTCGAATATGAGTCACGAAAATAAAATTTATCAAATTGGATGTAAATCGAATTTTTGAATTCGAATTTAAATTTGGATCAATCATAATCCAATTCAAATCCTATTGGTTGATATACTTATGGGTGAACACTTATCGTTCTAAATCTCTCAAAAACTGTTCATTGTATACTGATGGAGGTTTCAAATACCAAAAAAAAAAAAGTTCAAAATAAATTTTTACGCATGATTTATTATGCGGTAATGTGTGGTAGTAAAAATGATTCGAATCTAAAAATAGATTCTTGGGACTTGTAGAAGGGAAATTGCAAAGAACAACGAGGACAGAGACATGAGAGGGACATATTTACAAAAAAGAGAGGATTAATACCACCGGAGGTTTTCAAAGTATAAAGTTTATTTCATTTTGATCTTTAATGTTTTAATTGTATTATTTTGGTCCCTAAAATATTGAATATACTTTTATATAGTCCCTTACCAAAACAATATCTAGATTGCTAATGATTTTTTATCACAAACTTATCCCACGATATTTAAATGTGGACAAAACAATAATTTGGATAACTTTTGACCAAATTTTTACTCAAATTTTGGTTAAATACCTACTTAAATTACATAATTTTGATCATGCGTTATCCAAATTTTAGTCAAAAACTACCTATATTACACATTTTTTTGTCAAGAGCTACCCAAATTTTATTTAAAAATTATCAAAATTATTTTTATCTATATTTAATTATTACGTGACAAATTTATGATAAAAAATTGTTAACAATTTGGACGTTGTCTGCTTGAAGGACCATATAGAAACATATTCAATACTTCAGGAACTAAAATAATGCAATTGAAACATTAAAGACCAAAATGAGATAAATCTCATACTTTAAAGATTTCTAGTGCAATTAACCCAAAAAAAATTTGTCAAAAGCATGGAGGCTAATGAAACTCCACCAGCTGGACCTCACACCACCTTAGGGTAAACCTAAATCAGATGTGCAATATTGACTGTGTCGACGTAGCAAATTTTTTTTTTTTTTCAGTTCAAGGGTCAAGGTGTTTAAATTAGTTGACGTATATTTTGATTAATTTTTTCTCTGATTTGATTAAATTCAGATTATTCATATCAAAACTAAGAGATTTATGAGGAATAAATTCCTCATAATTTGATCTAAAAAAATTGTCAAAGTTCAAATTCAGAACATTTAAACTTACAACTTATTTTTATCATTCAAACTACTTCGAGATTGAAGAAGTGTAGTCTAATATGGTCTTATGGTGCACCTAACTTCCAAGGTTCTTTTTCCGACCTAAATTCTCTTGACCAGATGCTCTTAATTTCCACCTTGCAGAATTGAATGGGAGAGAACGTGTTTGGCGGGCTATTATTCTCCCCTTTAAGCATGAGTTATTAGTCAAATTCTCCCCTTTAAGCATGAGTTATTAGTCAAGAGTTTCAACGGAGTCGAGCCGTGTGCATTGGAATTGTGTTATTTTGACTCACAATATCCAATAAAATCTTTATATTAAAACACAAACGAGCAATAACCCGATTAGGGGTAAGAGGATTACGTCATTGGATCGTTGATCTCCATATTTAAGTTATTGTATGATAATAAAACAACCTCACGACAAATCAAATGAGAAATATAAAAGTTTATTTGTTTCTCTTACAATACATATTAAATAATTGTTAACACCAATTTTAATTATCCATTATTCATATTAAGTCAATGAGTAGGATAGACACCTTTGTAGTTAGCAAAGCCGACAGTAAAGAATTTACAATGCATGCACCTTCCTTCATAAACCCACTACCCATAATTTAATACTTATTACTAATTTTTATTTATTTATTTATTTTGCGAAGAATGTTTGACTTTAGCCTCTTTCTAGGAAAGACCATAAATGAGTCTTATCTCATCTGTAAATTGGCAACAACCAGTGGAAAAAAGGCTGCTAAGTTGGTTTTTGGGTGGTGTGCATTTACAGCTGAAATTGTTGACTTGTACCATGTTCTAGGGAGGAGGACAAAAGGGCGGGGGGGGGGGGTGGTGATAACTAATAATCAAATTGTCAAAGTTATTCTTGATGGACTGTAAGTTTCATGGTTCACATCAAGGTGGGATCTAATGGGCAAAAAGAAAATTGGATGTAGACCCATCTTGAGAATAAATGGGTAGTCCACCGACACGTTTGTAGGCTTGGTAAATAGTTAAACACGATTGTGAAAAGTTCGTATTTTAATAAGCGAGACTTTTATTCGAATTTGTAATAATGATAAGAATGTTCAAGATAACAGATAATTAATTATTGTAATTATTAAGTACGAATTTAATGTCAATTGTGTTTGTGGACCACTATTTTATTGAAATTTTCTTTAGCAATGACTCTTCCCATGTTCTTGAAAAGGTCACTTGTTTGGATCTAATGGACTTATAGAAAATTGGATATAGGCCTACCTTAAAATGAAACATATAGTCCACAAATGTCTTGGTCTACGAGTTAGCCCGTGCTTGTTTGAAAAATCTTGCACTTATAGGGCATACAGTCTAATAGGCCTTTCCTTTTCGCTGAAGCTTTATCGACGTTGTCCCGTTCTCCAATTTGATATTTGAATGTGAGTAATACTTTTCAAGTTGTATTTGTGAATCAAAACGATGCTTGAATTTATAGTAACGATAAGCGTATTCAAAAGAAGGGATAGGTGATAGCTGTGATAAGTGTGTACAAACTTTTATTTTAAATTGTGTTTAGCAACCACGATTCTTTCAAATTTTCCCTGGTTCCTTAGATAAACACGACAGAGCACCCCCTTTGTAGAGTAATAATGCCCAAAGCTAGCAATTTCTTGTCGGTAGTCTGGAACATTACTTAAAGGATTCTTTGGTGTAGATCTAACATGCCCAGACTAGGAATATGGAAAAAGTATTAATGTATATAACTATGTATGAAAACAAAAAATACTCAAGAACTGTACTATTTTTCATGTAGTGCTAACATAGTTTCGCCGTTGCATCGAGTATTTATTTGTCAAGAAGGGGTTGCCTAGGAGGAGGTGTGTCACATTGGCATTAGTTCATTCAGTATGGATCGATCAACACTAACCCAATACTCAATGTCGAATAGGCCCAACATTAGGGTCTGGCTCCTCTACTATTAGTTTTTAACAACTGAGATGTTGTTGTTTAAGAGGGTGTCGTTTTGATGGATCAACAACACTTTTGTTGTTAATTTTCTAATAAAGGGTACTTAACCCCAACATTATGCTTACAAAAGTGGACCTAGCTATTGTAGTTGGAATTTAATTTGATCCAACCCAATGCACTCCTCATAAATGGACATTAAAGCCCCATTAATAGGTTCATCTACCACGTTGATCTCTTTTTCTCCTTGAGAACTATTGATGCTCCCCAACTTCTTCCTGGACCACCTTCCTCCCAAAATAGCTCTTCTCACATTTACTTATTTTGGGTATTTTTTTGTTACAGTATCTTCTAGCAGTCATCCTTAAACTGGAAAGAGGATCGACGGTTGGCCTAATGGTCACTGCAGCTTGTCGTTGGACAGTTAGATCTCAAGTTCAAGCTTTACCAAAGAGAAAAAAAAAAAACCTTAAACTAGAAACTAACAAAAAAATTATATTTTCAGGGAAAATATTTTTCAGATACAAATAATTTAAGTTCATACAAATTGAACGATTATTTCTTTAATTTCTTAAAAATCAGTTTAGTTGCACGAATATGATATAAACTCAAAATTACGTGACACCAAATAGGAAATAACTTGACTTGATTCAAGCCCCAACAGTTTGCCTTAATTGACAAAGTATGGCCAATGCCATGCCATGCTTCACCATATTGCATTATGTAGGGAAGAGCAGGACTGGATCTCTGGCTAACTCATTATAATCCACCAGTTTAAAAAAGTGGTTTCTCTTTCATCTATAACAACAAAGTTAACATAATACATTACTTTCCTGTATAGTAAAAGTCATACATGGTGTACCATCCCCACTTCTAGACTAGATGCATGAGGTACACTTAGTGCAGAAGTGGGTGCTCTACAGTTTCTTCTCAAGAAATCATACACATAATTTATAACAATCTTCTTTACTAGGCTAGATCCTTGTTTTGCTCTCACATATGAATGCCCAAGTATGTAAGCCACCCCAGCTTCCCTGGCTTCCATCAGATCTCGTAATTCCTCGCGTGTAACAGTGTCGATTTTTGGGCTCTCTGGTATAACAAACCTCACCCTTTTTCGAGGTGTGATCACTGGTGGAGATCGTATCTCTTTCAGCTCTGATGTGCTAGCTGATTTTGCATTGTCCACATTGTCTTCACTGATTCGGATCCCTCCCATATGGGTTGATGGTGTTCCAACAACTGCCATATCCTCATTTTCCTTTGGCAAACCCTCATTTTCACCACTGCATCCTGCCTTTCCCGTCTTTATAAACTCGGCTATGCTACACACAAGATCTTTCTCAAACTCCGTATCATCCTTGTGAGCATCACGATAACCATATCTCACAATGCATCGATAAATCCTGTACTCTCTTGGGCCAATGTGACCAACAAGGAACCGTTCTTCATGGCTGACATGTGGAATTGGGACAGATTTAATGCAAAGAAAAACTAGGACCTGGTGGAAGGCTGGAAGGTTAGTGACAAAATGGGAAAAGATTGCTGGGATTCCAGACACAAGCTCGGTGTGTATCAAGCCAATTCCACGAACCCGTACAATGCCTAGGCTGGGACCCAAGCTGAGTAGCCAGTCGACGGAAACCTTATTCTGGACATCAAACTCGTACTTCTTGAGCGTGCCATAGTGCCAGATATACATGACCATCATAAAGATAAATGCAAGAGCAATGGGCACCCATGCCCCTTCACGAAACTTGATAAGAGATGCAGAGAAATAGAGAGCTTCAATTGTCCCAAAGAAAAATATGAAGCAAACAGCGAGGAAAACACTCTGGTTCCAGCATAAAACTATAACTAAAGACATTAAGCAGGTAGTGACCAGCATGACTGTTATAACTGCCAAACCTGATTCAAAAAGGGCAGCATTGGGGTTGAAAAATGATAACAAACAATAACATAATTGTAAAATTTGTGGGTGCGTGCGTGTTTTTTTTTTTTTTTTNGGAAAAGACTACTATAGATTGTCATCATGTGTGCATTTCTGTCAAATGTGACTTTCATTGTCTAAACCTAGGTTTTTCCATGAAGTTGGTTTGTTTGTTTGTTCTTTTTCTTTCTTGAACACAAGTTGTGGTGTTGGTTTCATTTGAAATTGGAAGAAATGTCAGAGAAAATGAGCTTGCCATATACAATTCATCAATTGCTTATTCCTCTTATGTTTGAAATAAGATTTTTCTTTCCTTAAATCTAGGATTTGGGTTGTCTTCTTTATTCATTACTTCTCAAAAAACATCATACCTACCATATAACATTCTTATTATAATAAAATATATGAGAGATAATCAACAAACAATCTTATTTCAAATTCGGAAAGATAACTCAAATTTACGACATATTGTTTAGGCGGGTGAATAGGCTTGTCAATGGACTTGAATTTGATTCGAATTCGATCTGAATCCAAATTTGATTAGCAGAATATGAATTTATATTTTTTACCAATAATTCAAATCATATTTCACATGTTCGGATTTGAATATACCTATATCCTATGCGATTATGATCTGAACTGAATTATTTACATATTTTTATATAAATATTAAAGAACTTTAGTTAATTAATTCAATTATGAGTCACGAAAATAAAAATCTGTCAGATTATTGGATTGGATTTAGATCGGACTTTTGAATTCGAATTTAAATTCGGATAAGTAAGAATCTGATTTAAACCTGATCCGTTATAAGATACAAATTCGGAGAGGAATGGAGCTTGTCAATGGATCTAAATTTGATTAGCAGGATATGAATTTATACCTTTTTACCAATAACTCGAATTTGAATCTGACTTCAAATCATATATTGTATATTTCACAGATTCGAATTTAAATATACTTATATACTATTTGATTATGATCTGAACTGAATATTTACATATTTTTTATATAAATATTAAAGAACTTAAGTAATTATTTAAAAATAAATAAATAAAATTTAAGTATAATTTGTTAAAATTTAGTTAATTAATTCGAATATGAGTCACGAAAATAAAATTTATCAAATTGGATGTAAATCGAATTTTTGAATTCGAATTTAAATTTGGATCAATCNAGTTAATTAATTCGAATATGAGTCACGAAAATAAAATTTATCAAATTATCAAATTGGATGTAAATCGAATTTTTGAATTCGAATTTAAATTTGGATCAATCNTTCTTATCCTAATCAATAAAGTGGGTGGTGTTTGTTTGACAAGATTAGAGGATTAAAAGTGGGATTGGATTAAAATAATGAAATGACCCACTTATTCTATGTTTGGTTGAAAAATTTGAAATCCTCTCCCGTGGGATTCAAAAACTTGACATACTCTACGACTGGACTTGAATCCAGGTCAGAAGAGATTATCTAAACCCATGNTCATAATCCAATTCAAATCCTATTGGTTGATATACTTATGGGTGAACACTTATCGTTCTAAATCTCTCAAAAACTGTTCATTGTATACTGATGGAGGTTTCAAATACCAAAAAAAAAAAAGTTCAAAATAAATTTTTACGCATGATTTATTATGCGGTAATGTGTGGTAGTAAAAATGATTCGAATCTAAAAATAGATTCTTGGGACTTGTAGAAGGGAAATTGCAAAGAACAACGAGGACAGAGACATGAGAGGGACATATTTATNAGTATTTTTTGTTAGGTTTTGGTACCTAGCTCCATCACTTTCCAACACACAGCATCCCCACTGGCCCCCCACTAACGACACTGCCCTCTGTCTGTCTGTCTGTCTCTCTTCTCTGTATTTGCGTACTATGTTGGTGACTGTGATTCCTATGTGTAAAATTTTATAATAAGCTTGGTTTAGGTTGCAGAGTGTGGACCACTGTTCCCCTTCTTCCTAGAAGAGATCTTTGTATTTGNACAAAAAAGAGAGGATTAATACCACCGGAGGTTTTCAAAGTATAAAGTTTATTTCATTTTGATCTTTAATGTTTTAATTGTATTATTTTGGTCCCTAAAATATTGAATATACTTTTATATAGTCCCTTACCAAAACAATATCTAGATTGCTAATGATTTTTTATCACAAACTTATCCCACGATATTTAAATGTGGACAAAACAATAATTTGGATAACTTTTGACCAAATTTTTACTCAAATTTTGGTTAAATACCTACTTAAATTACATAATTTTGATCATGCGTTATCCAAATTTTAGTCAAAAACTACCTATATTACACATTTTTTTGTCAAGAGCTACCCAAATTTTATTTAAAAATTATCAAAATTATTTTTATCTATATTTAATTATTACGTGACAAATTTATGATAAAAAATTGTTAACAATTTGGACGTTGTCTGCTTGAAGGACCATATAGAAACATATTCAATACTTCAGGAACTAAAATAATGCAATTGAAACATTAAAGACCAAAATGAGATAAATCTCATACTTTAAAGATTTCTAGTGCAATTAACCCAAAAAAAATTTGTCAAAAGCATGGAGGCTAATGAAACTCCACCAGCTGGACCTCACACCACCTTAGGGTAAACCTAAATCAGATGTGCAATATTGACTGTGTCGGCGTAGCAAATTTTTTTTTTTTTTNATCAGATGTGCAATATTGACTGTGTCGACGTAGCAAATTTTTTTTTTTTTTCAGTTCAAGGGTCAAGGTGTTTAAATTAGTTGACGTATATTTTGATTAATTTTTTCTCTGATTTGATTAAATTCAGATTATTCATATCAAAACTAAGAGATTTATGAGGAATAAATTCCTCATAATTTGATCTAAAAAAATTGTCAAAGTTCAAATTCAGAACATTTAAACTTACAACTTATTTTTATCATTCAAACTACTTCGAGATTGAAGAAGTGTAGTCTAATATGGTCTTATGGTGCACCTAACTTCCAAGGTTCTTTTTCCGACCTAAATTCTCTTGACCAGATGCTCTTAATTTCCACCTTGCAGAATTGAATGGGAGAGAACGTGTTTGGCGGGCTATTATTCTCCCCTTTAAGCATGAGTTATTAGTCAAATTCTCCCCTTTAAGCATGAGTTATTAGTCAAGAGTTTCAACGGAGTCGAGCCGTGTGCATTGGAATTGTGTTATTTTGACTCACAATATCCAATAAAATCTTTATATTAAAACACAAACGAGCAATAACCCGATTAGGGGTAAGAGGATTACGTCATTGGATCGTTGATCTCCATATTTAAGTTATTGTATGATAATAAAACAACCTCACGACAAATCAAATGAGAAATATAAAAGTTTATTTGTTTCTCTTACAATNGCCATTGGATCGTTGATCTCCATATTAAAGTTATTGTATGATAATAAAACAATCTCACGACAAATCAAATGAGAAATATAAAAGTTTATTTGTTTCTCTTACAATACATATTAAATAATTGTTAACACCAATTTTAATTATCCATTATTCATATTAAGTCAATGAGTAGGATAGACACCTTTGTAGTTAGCAAAGCCGACAGTAAAGAATTTACAATGCATGCACCTTCCTTCATAAACCCACTACCCATAATTTAATACTTATTACTAATTTTTATTTATTTATTTATTTTGCGAAGAATGTTTGACTTTAGCCTCTTTCTAGGAAAGACCATAAATGAGTCTTATCTCATCTGTAAATTGGCAACAACCAGTGGAAAAAAGGCTGCTAAGTTGGTTTTTGGGTGGTGTGCATTTACAGCTGAAATTGTTGACTTGTACCATGTTCTAGGGAGGAGGACAAAAGGGCGGGGGGGGGGGGTGGTGATAACTAATAATCAAATTGTCAAAGTTATTCTTGATGGACTGTAAGTTTCATGGTTCACATCAAGGTGGGATCTAATGGGCAAAAAGAAAATTGGATGTAGACCCATCTTGAGAATAAATGGGTAGTCCACCGACACGTTTGTAGGCTTGGTAAATAGTTAAACACGATTGTGAAAAGTTCGTATTTTAATAAGCGAGACTTTTATTCGAATTTGTAATAATGATAAGAATGTTCAAGATAACAGATAATTAATTATTGTAATTATTAAGTACGAATTTAATGTCAATTGTGTTTGTGGACCACTATTTTATTGAAATTTTCTTTAGCAATGACTCTTCCCATGTTCTTGAAAAGGTCACTTGTTTGGATCTAATGGACTTATAGAAAATTGGATATAGGCCTACCTTAAAATGAAACATATAGTCCACAAATGTCTTGGTCTACGAGTTAGCCCGTGCTTGTTTGAAAAATCTTGCACTTATAGGGCATACAGTCTAATAGGCCTTTCCTTTTCGCTGAAGCTTTATCGACGTTGTCCCGTTCTCCAATTTGATATTTGAATGTGAGTAATACTTTTCAAGTTGTATTTGTGAATCAAAACGATGCTTGAATTTATAGTAACGATAAGCGTATTCAAAAGAAGGGATAGGTGATAGCTGTGATAAGTGTGTACAAACTTTTATTTTAAATTGTGTTTAGCAACCACGATTCTTTCAAATTTTCCCTGGTTCCTTAGATAAACACGACAGAGCACCCCCTTTGTAGAGTAATAATGCCCAAAGCTAGCAATTTCTTGTCGGTAGTCTGGAACATTACTTAAAGGATTCTTTGGTGTAGATCTAACATGCCCAGACTAGGAATATNATAAAAAAGAGAGGATTAATAGCATCGGAGGTTTTCAAAGTATAAAGTTTATTTCATTTTGATTTTTAATGTTTTAATTGTATTATTTTGGTCCCTAAAGTATTGAATATGCTTTTATATAGTCCCTTAACAAAACAATATCTAGATTGCTAATTATTTTTTATCACAAACTTATCCCATGATATTTAAATGTGGACAAAACAATAATTTGGATAACTTTTGACAAAATTTTTACTCAAATTT